CAAGCTTAGATGTGATCAGTTCGGGATCAGTTCCGGCCTTCCGTTCAAGGTTGTGGTTCCAAACTAGCGGCTACCTGTGGGAGGAGCAATCACATCCTAAAAGTGGCGCAACAGTAGAAGAGGTTAGATCTGCAGCAATCGCCATTGCAAGCAGTAGCAGTCCTCACAGTTTCGATAAGACAGCGTGACCCACTCTACCGAGGCTTATGGTTGATTAACATGGGAAGATAAGAGTACACAAACGACTCATCTGGTTATCAGTTTGTTCGTTCAGCTGACGAATCGAAGATGAAGCATACAACCTAAGCTACTGATATTTGTTTCAGTAGCATGTGCCTCATCCAACAGATGAGACCAAAAGGTTCGTACGAAGCGGAATCAGTCCAACGCTGGTGTTAATGTACAGCGATCGTAAGACGAAAATGATCGTCGACGGTTCATCAAATCATAACTCGTATCACCATACAGGTCCCAAGAAAACCCAAGGCTGAGGGATCGACTCCTTAGTAAGAGACCGGTGGTAAAATTCACTGTCCTCTCGGCTGTGATAAACCGCCAAGCTGTGGTTGAAAAGACAGAAACACCGGGAAACTTAATTATGAGTTTAGATGCCAGGTTGACTATACTGCACCAATCTCGGAATGGAGAGTACACTGAACCTCGGGTAAAACAAATGTGCTCGCCTGTTTTGGGGCATGCCAACGCAACGGTAAGCTAGAGCAACATACGTTAACTGAACCATAGCAAGTACACGGCTCTACTTTTTAAAGTGACTAATGTTTGTTTCGTGAAAAGCGGCAAGAATATCACAGATTGGAAAGTAGGTTTTGTAGCCGTGTTACTGGCTAAGTCTATGCGGTCAACATGAGTTAACAAGACTAGACAACAGCTGTTGATCACATACTTGGACGCTAATGGGTTACATACGTCCTAATCCTGACCAGATCTTTCCTTGTTCACGTAGGTTATTCTCTATCCAACACTGTAAGGGCATTAAGCACAGGCTACACTTAGCAAAATCCACTAGACTCCTCGACATCTGGAGTGAGGGTAAACGTAGACACAATCGACGGATACTTACGAGGCCTGTGGACCAAATTTAAACCTGAGGACAATCGCAGTGACTAAAAAAGCGTTCATGGCACAGCAGTGAAGTAGGACAACAATGTCAATTGTAAAAATAACCCTAGGAAGAGTGTGCCAGAACGTCATAGCAGCAATGAAGACTAAAATGCCGCGCGAAAAGATACATTCAAGGATCCGTTTAAGAATTTTTCAATCATTCCAAACGAGAACGTTTTGAGCGAACGTCCGAATACGACTCCACCGAGAAAGCCGTAAAAGTCACCGTAAAACTTTGAATGTATTTCATAACAGGTACTATAACTTACCCCTGAAAGAAGCAAAAATATGGGGGGAAACCTACCTGTATCTCAAATAATCGAATGACTGAACAGTTCGATGGCGAACCGCCGTCATCGGAAGTTTCAGCTAAACCTATAGGACCTTTGTTCCGTAAAAATGATAACTCATAATCATAGTTTGATGGGTCAAAAAGCGATGAAATGTGTATATTTGTAATGCACTACTCATAAGTCTGCTGAAAATCCGTCGGCAGCCCACGACCGGTTTCGCCCTTTTGGGGGCTCATCAGGTAGGCGCAGTTCACGGGTTTCCGTAAAATTACAGATATATACATATATCACGATATCTCGAATGTCGTAGCGACCGAAACATGAGGCAGCCTGGTGCAGCGCATTCAGTCGCCTGGAAACATCACAAACGAGAGATTCAGCTGGGTTCCAGGTGAGTCTCTCGAAAAACCAAAGTAGTTTGCAAATGAGTGTATATTCGCCAATGAATTATGCTCTAGGCAATCTCACTACCCACGAAGCACCGCAGCATAGAAATCCTAACTGACGGCACGTTGGCAAAAAACATGTGATCGGATCCTGAAAAGCTCAGCCACGCAAAGTGTTTGATTCTCACAGAGACGCGTTGAGGGGGAGGGGGAATAGAAGGATCGACCGCGTGAGCTTTTGGGGAGATACCTCACGTTGTTAACCAATCGACCAATCTGCACGACTAGAGTACCTTACTCAGACATAAATTCCGGTTTAACCAGGCTTTTATGTGATCAGATAACCTGGTTAATGGCTAATATTCATATTGTTATATACCAATAATAGCTGGGACAAATCCTTCGCAAACGAGACTCCGAAATGTCCACAGTACTTGTGTCACCTCTGTCATGCTGAGAATGGTTCTATCGCAGAGAGAAGGATAATAGAAAATTTGCCTGTCTAAAATCAGGGCCAAAGTTGAACGACTTGGCCTGCATGTTGTCTACGAGATCAAGCAGTGGGACAGAAACTGTTCATTGTGTACCAAAGGCAGTAGTGATTTAAGGTATTCGTACAGCCCACCTATAATCCTCCAGGAGAAAGTCACTGTGAAGTGATGTATCCCAAAAGTCGTATGACCTCACCGGACGCTATCGAAACATTTATGATAAGATGCCGAAAAGTCTAGCCAAACGTGGTCTTTCGCCCTGACCGGACTCGGTAGCCGGGCCTAGAGGGACCAGCCACGTGACTTTTTGGTTGAGTTTCAGCCTGGTTACGGGCATGGTTTTTGACTAATATGGAAGGTGGATAGAGATATCTCGGAAACAGGAGCGCAAGTGAAAAAGTGAAAGGATTACGTCTTTGCCTCTGGCCATTTGACGTAGGTCACTCCGGGTGCCACATTAGGGGATGCAATAACAAAGCAAATGGGTTTGTTGGCCGTTTTCTACCCTCCTAGGCCATCTTCAGCCTGGACTCAATCAAGTGATGAAAAGCTCTTCGACGGAAGGTACGTTCCGATACTCGAGACATACAACTACGCCAGCACAATCTTTCAGCTCACATCGACTCACCTAACCTGTTTGCTATTCCACTGAAACGTATAAGATACACCCCAGCACTGCGACAGCATGACATCAGTGTCCAACACCGACGCTTCACTATCGTACAACAATGATGTATTTGAAAGTCTTATTGTAAAGAAAAGAATAAAGGTGAACGGGGAAGGGACTTGGTGATAGCTTGCTACAACCATTTCGAGGTGCCTACACTTCCAGACATTCACTCAAGCAATCTGGACAGAAACTGACAACAAAAACGCCACTGACATGACGCTATCGAAACATTTATGATAAGATGCCGAAAAGTCTAGCCAAACGTGGTCTTTCGCCCTGACCGGACTCGGTAGCCGGGCCTAGAGGGACCAGCCACGTGACTTTTTGGTTGAGTTTCAGCCTGGTTACGGGCATGGTTTTTGACTAATATGGAAGGTGGATAGAGATATCTCGGAAACAGGAGCGCAAGTGAAAAAGTGAAAGGATTACGTCTTTGCCTCTGGCCATTTGACGTAGGTCACTCCGGGTGCCACATTAGGGGATGCAATAACAAAGCAAATGGGTTTGTTGGCCGTTTTCTACCCTCCTAGGCCATCTTCAGCCTGGACTCAATCAAGTGATGAAAAGCTCTTCGACGGAAGGTACGTTCCGATACTCGAGACATACAACTACGCCAGCACAATCTTTCAGCTCACATCGACTCACCTAACCTGTTTGCTATTCCACTGAAACGTATAAGATACACCCCAGCACTGCGACAGCATGACATCAGTGTCCAACACCGACGCTTCACTATCGTACAACAATGATGTATTTGAAAGTCTTATTGTAAAGAAAAGAATAAAGGTGGATGGGGGAGGGACTTAGTGCTAGCTTTACACAATCATTCCGAGGTGCCTACACCTCCAGACATTCATTCAGGCAATCTGGACAGAAACTGACAACAAGAACGCCACTGACATCGGTTGGCAGCCATATCTTGTAGTGTCTCCAACCAGGCACAGTGAGGATCACGCGGTCCCCATCCTGGAAGGCGAGTAGCACCGACAGCACCCAAGCGTTTCGTGATCTCCCTCATACTCCTCTGTCAAGTCAAGGGTTGGCCACCTCTCTGTTTACGCCACTCTGAGTTGGGCATGGAAAACAGCACTCTCTTCGGCAAACGATGGCTAGGCATACGCAACACGTGTCCCAAAAGACGCACGTTCTGGTGCTGGAAACGTCCTTTATTGAAAATGCCCGTTGCACTACCGAAAACTCGCTTTCTAACTGCCTCGGTGCGGGCTATAAAACACCAACCTACGATATCTATGGTCCTGAGACGACGATTGTCGTACACTTGGTGTCTGAGTTCCGTTGCTGGACCAGACCAGGCCTAACAGCCATAAAACAAAACAGGTACTTCCTTCGAGATTCAGGGATACACCACTCTGACGCCATAGGTGTCTCAAATTAGCGACCCGGGCCTTGCAGATTCGTGCATTGACGTCGTCTATCACACTACAATCAGAACTAAACAACTTCCAAGATATGTAAAACGCTCCACAACTTCCAGTACCTCTCCTTGGATTTTAAGTGGCGTGTTCAGTGACTGCACGTCCACGAGTATGACCTAACACACTTTGCGGGTGCCGAACAAGTGTCGTCATTTGATTAGAGCGATGCTTCTGATATCTCGCCTGTCAGAGTTTTCGATGTTTTCTGTTTACAATTCCCATATTTCTAGACCACATAACAGTTAAGAACGTGCTGCGGCAGCAGCGTAAATTTCTTTCGTATCCAAGAAATAGGTGTCGTAGGTTAAGACAAGCCACACTGTTGCTGTTTGTTCGATATCCAATTTCGTCCTCGGTTGAAGACGACCCAGATCGATAGCGGAACGTTTTGTCCCGTCTGAGAGTTCACTGTGGTAGAACACAGCAGCCGGACCGAAAAATCAAGGAAATGAACAAGGAAATAAACACAGCGAACTATCAACGTCCCTACAACAACAAACAGGTGGTCAGTCGATTCAAGGCGTTCGATGTCAGGCCTCTAAGAATGGTGCAAAAATATCGACAACTTAAAGTAAAAAAAGAAAACACGGCACACAACTTACCCACTAGATGGCTAAACGTTGGCCTAGCTCTTGGTTCATGCGTCCAACAGGCCCTCATTACTGCGTCGTATATCGCATCCGGGCACGCATCTGGCTGATCAAGACGTGCAGAACGGGGCACATCGATTGCTTCCAACACTTGACGCCCAGTAAGTCCAGCCCACGGAGTGAAACCATAGGTGAACATTTCCCAAAGCGTGACTCCATAAGCCCAGATGTCCGAAGCTGTGCTGAACTGGAGGTCATGGATACATTCTGGAGCACACCAGGCGATCGGAAGTTTGAGGCTCACGTTGAAATTGGACTGATAATAGGATTTACTGAGTTGAAGTGCTCGAGACATTCCGAAATCACTGATTTTTACCTGGAAGATTAGTTTTGAAAATTCCATTGCTGAGTGAGGTTCCGTAGAGAAGGAGACACAAGCAGATGTTGACTGAAAACAAATTTTCGGGAAACGGGCAAAAGCAAACCAACCCTGACAGAACGACTAAAGACATCATCATCATTGTCAGCTGTACTCGTCGTACAGTGGTTGTAGATGCCACAGTTTCGTTCACATTATTGGGGGGGGGGGAGGGGCTGGGTAGGTGGCTGCGCATTGCAGGCGGGAGCTGATAAATTGGTGCATAAATCCAACATTGTCAGTGGGCTGCCAAGTGGGGGATTGGGAAGGGAGCTATGCATTGAAGGCAATAGTTTGGATGAATGGCCGCCACTGAGGGCGCGACTGGTCCATGTCTGACAATGTCTCTGGCCATTGATGTGGCTCGTCTCAGGGTCCCCATCCAGGAAGACGGCAGTGACCAGAGCAGTTGAGTTTGCTGGTAATGGCTTTCATACTTCGCTGCTAAATCATTGTTTGAACGCCTCTGGCTCTCTTTCGCCCTTCACGTGGTTGTGCGAAAAGAGCCATTCGAAAAAGTCGGTCGACCGGCATACGCAGCACGTGGCCAAACCAGCGCGACCTATGCAGTGTGAACAGTTCATCTATCGAAGGTGAGTTATTTCTCCAAGAGTTGGGTTGGAGACCGTTCGCGATTTGAAAGAAATGACAGTAGGGACAATGTGAACTCTGCTTCGAATGTCACCACCAAACTCAGTGTATTTGAACACCCATGTGACACAACACCAAAACCAGCTATTGGGTTGAATTTCATCAATTTGCTACGCCCGAATCACATGTTTCAACCACTCCCACTCTGTTGACCTGAAAATCGATTAGTACAAGTCAGTAGTGAATTCATCTATAAGAAGTGTAGGAATAGGAGTAGTTCACCAGTAACAGCATTTCGGTGCCTAACGGCCATGCCATTCAAAGGAAGCATGAGGGCTGGGATACTGCCAGGTTGCCCAAGTCGAGACATGGTTGTCGAGAGGCAGAGGTCGGGTTCGAACCACGGACATTTCGGTCAGTAAATTCGCGCTCTAACCACTGAACCATCTCGGTGTAGGATATATTAGGTTGAGATTCAGACTTCAGGGACTTACACAGCCTGTCAAAACAGCTGGGAAAAGACACACCGAAGCGGTGCTGGCAGTTCTGAGTTGCGGTGTCAAACGATGCCAATGCTCACGGTAATAATAAACTGTTCGGTGACAAGGTCGATGCCGAAAAAACGTGTAGGTTCGCTGTATGTAGTGTGAATAGCTAATTTAAAAACTAATGATATTCTACCGGTAACAGATCCAGAACGTTATGCGTTAGTGAAGCTTGAAAGTATGCCTCTTTTGAACGGTAGGTACTTCACTTCCACCGATTCGAAACAAAACGAGAGTCTATAGGAGATCTAGTTATCATGAATAATCAGCGGTTTTAAGGCGGTCCTCAGAAATCGATATTCAGTTCGCATGAGCTCTGTATTGCTAGATGGACCATTAGATATGTTGGTGTTATATCTGACTGCTGTCCACGCTCCTGTGCCTAGAGTCGAAAAACACTCGCCGACAAGGAACACAACAGATTTATTGCAACATGCAAGTGTTTTCACTCACTGTTTAACCTTGATCCAAGGCTATCTGATCGGCGGTCAATAAAGCTTGAGGGTCTCAGTCGGTTTTGGGTATTCTGGAATAAACTTCAGGAATCTGACCTTGCTGGCACCTGTCCCTTTGGCCGTTCAACGTAAGATTGTCTGTGCCGATTAAGTTGTAAAAACAGTGCTACCAAGCGCGACCGGCGCGGCGTCTCAATACGGATCCGTCTTGGGCTGTACATGTGAAGTAATGGTTATTGGTGCTGGACTTGGGATGGGACACTCAGTCGGCCGTAGCCGATTGATGTGTGGTTTCCATATCAATGATGGTACTCGGACGCTATCTTACCGATTCTTCTAGGAACGAAAACAACAGTCCAGTTTCGATGTCCGGGGCGATAGTCCCTCAAAGCACACAATTTCCATACCGGGACGTTGGTTTCCCTCCTGCCGGTGAGTGAAAACACGTAAATATTGACAGGATAGCGTCGCGGGCAAGTTTGATAACCTTTGCTGGGGATCGACCGTCCGGTGACTGTGGATTAGGGGTTGCTCTATAATTCTGCAGGAACGTATCTAAGACTTCTGCTGTGGTCCTTCCCCCCTCTGCTTTTGTCAACGCGCGTTTGAAGGTCTCTACGAACCACTCGGCTTGACCGTTAGATTGGGGATGGAATGGTGCAGAAGTAACATGTGTGATGCCGTGTCTTTGACAGAATTCATCAAACTGATGGGATATGAACAGAGCACCATTGTCAGATACAATAGTTTCCGGGCTATCGAATGACAACCAATACCGCAGTTCAGTCATGGTTGTTATCGGGCCGCTTACTAGATGCACCGACAACGATGAGAAAGCTAGTTGGTCCAGCAAAATCCACATGAATGCGAGACCATGGTTTTTCTGGATGTGGCCAACTGGATTGGTGGTACTCCACTGCCTTCTGTACTACGTGGTCATTTTTGGAGGCACCGCATACCGTGTCAAAAGTCACGAGTAGATGGTTCATGGTCTCCAATACCACAGCCAAGGACTTCCGGTCCGACGGCAACGGTCGCTTTCGACCATGGTTCTGATTGATCTCGTCTGCCTCTTAACCTCCGGCTAGCTTTTCGCTTCGGTCACTGGCTTTCCACGTCGACTGCTTTTTATAGGGACACAATAGCACAAAATGACATTTGTCGCATTGCCGACATGCCGACGGAGACTTTGTTTCGTTCGAATTTGCCACCACGGGAGGTTGCCTCGAAGTCGTCTTGACAACACTGAAAGCAGGGTTGGATACTGGTTTCTCCAACATGTCTTTGTCGTGTTTAAAAATCAAGAGGCGTTGGCACTCATTAGTAGTGAACTGCAGCGTTATCTCTGAAGTCTGTTCAATCATGTTTAATAGCCTCGTTCCGATATCACTGTCTGAATGCGAATGAAGGCCCCATATGAAAGTAAGACACTTGAACTGGTCTTCCTTCATTGTGGACAACTTGAATTGTTCGCACTCAAGATCGGCTTTATCGGTGTAAGTGATATGGTCTTCGGATTACTTTTTCGATAGTCTCATACACTGGTAGCGAATAGTAAACAAAGATGAATGCTCGGCGAAAATTGTTGAGTTGCTGTATGGTTTTGTCAGAACCGAGATCTCGCGTGTCTTTTGACAGGATGAAGTTGGATACCGTGTGCCCTCCGTTGTACCCAACTCTCTGAGCAATAAGCGCACTCTCCAGGCATCATCTTTGTGCTTCAGTTCGATTTTGAAAAATATCTTCATAACGTCTGAAACACGAATCGAAGGTGAGCGACACCAGGGTCATAATGGAACTCCGTGATGCTGTTGGCAATCGAGACGACTGAAGTTGCATCTGGAGAGGAATTTGGTGGTTGAATTTCGAGTGGCTGAGTCAAGGTTTCCAACGAACACGATTGCGCCACTCCAAACCGATTTCGCAGTTGCGTCAGAATTTTATTCAACGCTTCATCAGTTATTGTCATGGTTCAGACGTCACCAATCTGTTACATCTGACTGCCCTCCTCGCTCCAGTGCATATTGCAGGAAAAGACCCGCCGACAAAGTACACAGTGGCCGTATTGTAAACAAGCGAGCAAGTGCAAAAAGTAAAACGGCCATATATTCAGGGGACATTGTCTGTCCTTGATCCAAGACTGCCTTGCGCTATATTTTGAAGCGTACTGTGTGAACTTGGCCCAAGAGTGTTTGATCGGCGTTAAGTGGACGTTGAGGATCTCAGTAGGTTTCGGTTATTCTGGGATAATCTTCGGGGATCTGACCATCATGACAGTTTGAGACTGCGTTTGTACGAATCCCGATGTGAAAACTTTGAATTCAGCTCATGCGATGGAAGAAAATTCAACAAACAAACACCTCGTGTGTGTGATCGGATCAACAGCCGTGACCACGGGAATGTGAACGTATCTTATTGTGTTCATGTTACCTATTCACTTAGATGTAGCGGGATTGTCTAAGCCACCAAAGCACTTGGACTTTAACTCCATATCGTGTTCTCGTTATTGCCAGCGCTCATTAGCTGAAAGTGAAGCCCTATGCTTCATAATTGATAAACGCGACAGTCATATTTTGACTGAGCGACGAAGGTCACCTACCCACCTACAACCATTGCTGTCTCTTGCGTGGTAGAAATGAGAGAAAACAAAACAGCGGTTTTTTAAAAACCATCAGGTAAATTATCTGATGGGCTAGGATGAGGCGGTCAAGTCTTATCACCCCTTAATCACTAGAGAAGGGCTAGTGTCGCCGTCGTTGATAAGATCTGCCGGAGGTAAACTGAGTCGAACTCTCTCCGAAAAAACAGTATTCGTTATTTGTAAGAAGGGAAATATATTATGGCGACGGAAAACGACAACCTAAAGATATGACCACAAGAAAAAACGTCGAAGTTGCAGCATAAAGAGTGGACAACTTCACAGACACTTGGGAATAATTTCATTTCAACAAGCGAGCGAGGATGTCCGAAGGACTGATGCTTTCGATCATCGATGATTAAGGAATGTCCTAGAAGTAAGGTGGATCGATAGGATTCCCAACGCGAAAGTTCAGCTTTCTTATTCTGGAATTTGAAAACTCGCCGTTCAGCAGCGCCGACTGCATTGGTTCGAATATATCCACTATAAACTGGAAAATAGTGCAAAAGATCCTTGACGCAACCCTCTGCAGACGTTGGTGATACTACACTTGAAAGGAGCTGAAAACATCGTCCAAAAGGGCCGAATCCGACTCTGAATACCTCAGATTCTGATCGATCTATTGTGTTCGTCAAATGAAAGAAGACTTGCCGATCGCGTGGCGGGACAACGACGATACGGCCGAAGTAAACCGAACAATAGGGAGGACAATACAGTATCATATGAAGCACCAAAAAAGCAGACTGCGGTCATCTAATCCAACTGTGATCACTTTCTAGGTCACAGCTGTCCGAAAAGGTGGGGAAACACACCTGTAAACCCAACAGCAAACTGTGAAACAACAGAAAGAAATAAGCAGTATCGAAGAAGTCAAAAACATCCGTCATTTTTTCCGCAGACACAATGATCCACGTCTTAATTTTGTTGAGTAAAACTGTTTCGCGGAAAAATGCAACAATCGACTCATAAGGATGATAAATATGGCAAGGGGATGGTTAAGCATCGTCGAATCAACTTTGGTCAGGCACTGCAAATCGCTAAGTTCCAAAAAACGCCACTTCGAAGCGATGTCACTGGAGAATGTCTCAACAACCACAGTAATTGGTACCATCTACCGAATAGAACCACCTTCCAGTAGAAACCAAAATCGTTCATCTGTAGCATCCTTTCGGTGCCTAGCTGCCATCGCACCCGAAGGAAGCATGAGGGCTGGGATACTGCCAGGTCCCCCAAGCCTAGACAGGAGGAGTCGAGAGGCAGAGGTCGGGTTCGAACCATGGACCTTTCGATCAGCAAATTCGCGCTCTAACCACTTGGACTATCTCGCCCCCTGGACCAAATACCCCTTTATCCCAAGATGGTTTCAGTCGGGTGACTAAAATGCAATAATCCTAGCCTTAATATCTCTTACGCTGAAGCCCAATGCAATTTAGTTCAATTTATCAGCTAGAAACCATGTGCCATAGACACGTTGGTTCCAGCTGCTACAGTTTCGATCAACGGAAAGCGGGAAAGTGGAATACAGAACCAACCCTTGGAGGGGAATGCATGTTCAGTTTGTTCGGAAATCGGATGGCTACGCATTGAAGGCGATAACTTTCATGCACGAGCGCCACTGACTGCGCGATCGGTCCATTTCCGTTATTGGCGATTTGATTCCCGGGATCCCCATCCAGGGAGGCGGCAGTTACCCACCCTACTAAGTTTACTGGTTAGTGTTTTCGTAATTCGTTATGAGGTCATACACTGCCCACTTCTCGGTCACTTCCACTCAGCACAAGACTGGAAGAGAAGAACTCTGTAAGGCAGAGAGTATTCTGGCATGAGGAGTACATGTTCCAACCAGCGCAACCTACGGAGCGTGAGTAATTCATATAACGCGGGAGAGTTCCTTCTTCCTAGGACCGTCTGGCGTACCTCAGCAGTACTAATCCGATGTTCCCACCAGACCTGACCAATGCTTCAGAGGCGCCGATGGTCAAACACTGACAACATCTTCCGTATGTCCTATGCACGTAGGGTCAACGTTTCTGATCCATAAGGCAGTATGGATCTCACCACCACAGTGTAAAGTCTTTCCTTGACAGACAAGCTCACGTCACGTCGGCGCAGAAGCTGCCCTGGCTTTTCCTATTCGAGAAATAATCTCATCTCCAGCCAGTCCACCGAAACTTATACAGCTGCCTAGGTAAACAAATTTATCTACCACGTCGATTGGCTCACCTGCGAGCATGAGGTGTGGGTTTGATCCCACCCAGTCTTCTAGCAGGTGTGACGCGCATGCCAAACCGTGCTGCAGAGTTATTTAGGTTATTTAAAATAGTTTGCATTTGGGAAGGATCTAAAACAAGGAGAACAATATCGTCTCCATACTCGATGTCTGTAAGGGAACGTCCCGGAAGCATTTCGACCCCCGAGGTTTCAGAGGTAGGCACAGAAATTTCGAGCGCTATATCAATAACAAAGCTGAAGAAGAAAGGGGATAGCGTTGTCTTACACCACTGGACGTGGTGAACTCAGGCGAAAGCTCTTCGTATACTGGTACGCGCCCACAGGAGTCAGCATACAGTGCCCTCATCAGGGAGAAATTCGGAAGGGACACCTTTGATAACCAGACACTGCCAAAATTGCTGACGATCGACAGAATCAAAAGCAACGTTAAGATCCAGAAAAATGACCAACGTGAGACGCCTGAAGGAGTGGCACCGTTCAACAATTTGTCTCAAGGCGAAGATATGGTGGATGCATTCTCGCCGAAGCCCTCCCACACATGTTGGGTTGCCGGACCCAAGCAACTGAAACGATGCGCCTAGAACTACAGACACGGTTAGAAATACATCCAGACTTCGAATTTGTGATGTGATCTTTCACCTGTATGTTTTACACGAGTCTCCTGATGAAAGAGCTCACGTTTACCTACACTCTCACCCTCGTATGAACGTACAAAAGCGATCATAAGGTTGCATATAATAATAATCGAAAGACTAGGGTTATTTGTACTTCCTAATACAACCGACCAAATTTGCTGTTTCTTTTTTTGAGGTTGTTACCATAGTGCAGTACAGAATCCGGAAAAAGATGCTAGATGGTCAATTCCAAAATCCGTGGCCCGATTCTGCAGAACCCCAATCTACTAATTTTCAAGTTCGAACAAGGGTGATGGTAGAACCAGTTTGGGCGTAGAGAAGAACAGGTGACATCGATTCTCTGTAAAATGTTCAACATGGAGGTCATGAATGGCAAGCAACCCTGAAAGATGCACATTAGAACTACCCAAAAACAGTTAAGGCTTATTTGAAAATAAGGAAAGAGCACTGAATTGGAGGCTTACCAGGTCCTTACTGAACACCAAAAGATTTCTTGCAGCCAGATCGCGATGGACCAGACCAAGCTCTTCCAAATAGGCCATTCCACGGGCGACCTGGACAGCGAACCGATGCAACACTGGAACTGGGAAACTGGGTCGGAGTTCCGGTTCACGCAGGCACTCGAGCAAAGAACGCAGTGGGGCTAATTCGGTGACCTGGAAGGTGTACACAGTCAAAGGAACGTATTTGGGTAGGAAGGATGGCTATTGATAAAGTTTGTCGGGCTAAAACTGCTACTAGCAATGTTGTGGAATGTAGGTGGTTCGGGTGCGCAGCCTGGTTGTTGGTCTGTTCGTCGAGCTTGGCAGTTGGACTGCAAACGTTTCATCACCAATCGAGGTGACATCGTCAGTGCAGGGTTGAGTGGGTCCGTTCCAGAGTAGTGCTACAATTTGTGCCGAGGAAGGTCACAGGAGCACAACTGACTAAGACGGGTCAGTTCCGTTATATAATGCCAAGACCAATCGATACTTGAATGATTCAACAACTATGCTAGACTCAGAAGGCCACACACGATCCATCTTGATGCAACACTAAGTATGGGGAGGATGAAAGCCCTCAGAAAGTCCTCTTTAGGGTGCATGCTGGTACCTTAATGTGGTGTCTAGGGTTCGAATGGATCTTACACGGTGCTTGAACGACAAACCGTACGTACGGGGAATCGGCGAATTCGCATATCAAGATGGCACTCATCTGAATTTCTCGTTTATGACATTATCCAGCTGGATGCGCCGTACGGAAATGGAAAGTTCTATCGAGCGTCGGAATTCGATTTTGAGGAGTAGAGATTCCCAAACTATCCACAACAATTCATGCAGCAACAAGATATCCATAAAGAAATTCAAGGTTACTCTGAACTAAGTAGTTGGCGTGTAGTTTTCAACACGAATAGTCACAATTCCCTGGACGTGCAAAGAGGATTTTGAACCACACAGGTTGTACTATAATCTCTAGAACTAAGAGACATGATTTCGGTTGTATAGGACCTAGCGACATTAGTTTGGCCCCTGAGGGGTTCGAGCGTCCCCAGCTATGAGGTCACAGAGCAGGAGATGTCGGGTCACGGTTTTCTTCACTGCCTGCACCTCAGGTAACCTGATGTGAGTACAATACAAACTACGGTAAGATTGAGTGCGTTCACTTTGATTACAAAAGCCGTGGAAACAACACAGAGGGATGGGAGGAGGTGTCCAGGAAGGTGACACCATCCAAAATGAGGGAGTATACCATTCGTGCGATATGAGAGGGAGAACGTTTACAGTACAAAGATCAATGGTTTAAGGGGACATCAGAACTTCATCAGCTTCTCTCAGTGATGTATCGAAACGCAGGTAGAAATATTAAAATCGCCATTACCAAGGCATGAATGACAAAATTTCATGAAATTTGGTCGTTTTCACCACTGGACTGTCACATTCTTGTCAGAAAACTGAGCTTATCCGATCAAATCCAAAACATGCACCTTTTTCCACTCAATCGGTACATGGTGATGACCCATTAGTGGGTCTTTTGTCGCTTTACCAACTTATCATGTCCGGAAACGGATACAGTTGGTTTGGCCCAAACGTTCCCTACAAATTCAATTAGTGGAGCATCGGTGTTGAATACTGATGCTGTGTCGATAATGGAGTTGGATATAGTATCGATTATTTACTTGATTTATTAGTGAGTAGGTTCATGTGCGTATACAGACAGGTTCGTGCTCTGGACTTCAAACTCATATTGTTCCTGTAGGTGGTGAACACCTGTATTCGCCTGACGGTCAAACGAGCGTACACCTAAAACGAGACTGCTTATGTCACATACGATGCCGACTGCTAGTGGGTGACGAAAATGAAATAGAACCAACAGGACTAAACTGAGGAGACATTACGATTGTTCGGTTTCTCGTTGGTGAGTGTGCCAGTTCGACCAAGTGGCACCAGAAGATTGACGGGTGTGCAACGCGCTACACGCTGTTGATTAATCGTAAGAGTCTCGGAGTGTGAAATCTGAAAATGTGAACTAAGTCCTGATTGAAGCACTCGATGATTCAGCGACCACGTTCATCTAGGATTTGTTACGAGATGGCTCAGTGGTTAGAGCGCGAATTTACTGACCAGAATGTCCATGGTCCGAACCCGACCTCTGCCTCTTGACTCCCCCTGTCTAGGCTTGGGCAACCTAGCAGTGTCCCAGCCCTTGTGCTTCGTTCCGGTGCCAGTAAGGCACCGAAAGGGTGCTCAGCTGAATGGACTCCCCCTGTCTAGGCTTGGGCAACCTAGCAGTGTCCCAGCCCTTGTGCTTCGTTCCGGTGCCAGTAAGGCACCGAAAGGGTGCTACAGCTGAATGACACTTGATTGTTAAGAGTTCTGTGGAGCAGATAAAGCCGAGTGTTCTTTGCACTCGACATCTATTGCAGCACATTACACAAGCTTTTTTGGTGCCTACAAAGACCTTGAATTCTCAACTGCCTCTGTTGTCTAATATAAAACAAAGTGAAGTGAACGGATCTTCGTGTCTTCCGGACTCGAGCCCACAAGATCCTACTTGAACGTGGCCGGAAACCCTGGGGGATATGGCACGGCAACCGATCCCATTGATACGCATGCTGTCATTTCCAAGCCAATCTACCTAACTAAAGTTAGTCTGTCATTGTGCTTTCGTGAAGGACGATGAGTCAATCCCGCTGACAACGTCCTTTGTCAACACGATCCCTAGATATGTTGATTTTAGTGTTGTAAAAAGATGTAGGCACCGAGTCTTGACAATTTTTCCTAAGGACATAGGGTTCTTCGCCGTAAGTTATTGCACCCTCCTCCTCTTTTTCATCATCATTGTATGGCAGTTGAGCGCCAGAATGCACTACTGGCTGTACTGCTGTCAATGAGGGTGATGATCATGATGATAATGATGACTGGCACCAAGCAACCGGAAGTCAATCAGTTTGGCGCATTCCTCCGTCAGATTTGACCTGAATGTGGCTTACAGAAGAGCATTGACACCTACATTCTAACGCTCGGCAGCCCACGCTTGACGGACATGGACTGCAAAGTATCAATATTTCAAACACACACGATCGTGATTCTCCGAGCGGCACCCAAAAGTCGAACGGAAGTGGTCCGACTTTATGCCTTGAGCCCACGATAAGACCTCAGCCTCGATGTCGAAATGCTGAAGTACGGTTTGCTGGCGCATGCGATGGGGTGAGGGGCTGTGCATAAAAAAACTAAGTTTCTCCGTTGGACTATTGTTTGTTTTGACTGAAATCAGATAACCAACGTCCTCGAACTGCAGGTATCATCCGGCCGTTACTTTGAGTGATTTTAGGGGTACGAAAGAAGCCTGGAGACCATAACTGACGGTGTAAACTTTAAACTCACGCTTCGACTCAAATTTGGGGTGATGTGGTCCTTGGATTTTCTTAAATCCATTGCACTTTGTGGTCAATCTCTGAAGTTCAGCGCAAAAGGAGCTTGTGACAGAAAGAGGAGTTATCAGTGTTGAGTACATCCAATGTTTAATGCTAACAAGACTAGCAAGCACACAAGCCTTTCGACAAATCTGAGAAACACTGCGTGCCTCACCACAAAGCGCACAACACCACCGAACTCATTTTACGTAAACTTAAGCAACTTTCCAACATCGAAAGTTCTTTTGAAGCTCTGGAAGACGGTGGAGTATCCATTACCGTCTCTGAAGGGCTATCGGTGATGTCTTACGGCGAACTCCAATGCCCTTGTAAAGACTATCTTTTCTGATAGCGTCATCTACCCGTGACGGTCTCGTATCTTTTTGAACCCTACACGTTAGTTATTTCATATCTGTGTACTTGTGCTCAACACGGAGTGAGTTCTTCTCCCCAACTCTGAAAGACACTCACCAATCGTTGTTTGTTATCACCCACATCCACTACTTTGATCTGTTCGTGGTCCTAGGTTCCGACAGGTATGAAAAACCCGTGTTTCATCTTTATAAAACGACTTAGAAGTCCACCAGATAGATTCGTTAGTCAAAACTCATGGGTTAAACTAAACACCAAGTCCCACAGATCACAGATCAGTGTGATTCTGAAACCAAACCTGTGCACTCGGAAACAAATACTTGTCCGGTAGGGTTTGTATGAACAAATGACGGACCACCATGCTCATTCCCTACCCCCATTTCACTCCTATCACTATCCCTGATCCGAATCCACTGTGACAAGACTCACTTTGTTAGTCTCCCCCAGCCAAGAAAAATCGCTGCATGTACCTAGTATTGAATTTCTTTTCACAACTTGCATTGGGTTTCACACCGAACAACCGTTACGTTGACAGTTTTCTCCATTTCATCTAGAACGTGTGGTGATAGTACCCGGATGAATAGGATGTCACAAAATAACACGGACTCATGCAATCTGCCGAAATGTTCTTCCCGCATGCTTCACGTATGTCACCGGGAATCCGCAGTAAATTATTCGGCTCGATCGATTAGAAAACGTCTTCGAACGAGAATTCATCGTTTCGGAAGAGTCTCCGGAACAATCGTCAGATTTATTGTTGGGTGACGTTCCGTTTTTGACACAAAATCTTTATCCAACCAAGTGATCAGTTTACGCAGTTCGTCGAGACTTAGAGCAAAGAGAACCAAGGCTAGAAGATGACCAAATGATCAATTTCTAACCTCAAACAAAATTAGACCAACACCCGGTGTGATTTCGGTTCACACAATTGCAATGGATTCGCTGGCTGGTGTGATAACGTAAACAGTGGCTCCTTTATTCAAGTCTCTATTATCTTCGTACATTATTGTCCCGAACGTTATTCCTTAGTCACTGTAATTTGAATACACTGATATTGCGCTCGACCCCCAGGCTTCATACATCTCACGCTCGCACGAATCTGTGGACCGGGCTAAATGTAGTCATAGGTTGTTCTCAAGACTACCCCTGACCACTTAATGATCAAAGGTTCGGGGAAGTAGGATTTTCCTTCATTCAACGGAGGCAATCTAGTGATCGTCCCAGTAATTTTTCGCTTCCCACTGTCACTTAGGCTTGCATTCAGAGGCACCCGTCGGCGAGGCAATCGAGGTAACGATCACAAGTAACCTTGAATTGTTTGTTCACGTTTAATCCTTTCTCACCGAAGCCCAGCACTGAGGCTGGGGATACACTATGTACCTCGCATCCTTATCTTCATGTCTGTCAACGCGCAATGCTTGTATAACAAGAGTCTATGGTTCTTAGTTGGGTCAAATTTACATGGTGTATGCCCACTTCATATTTTCTGGTTACCAATGCATCACTACGCCAGAAATCACCGTTCGGGTGCACAAGACGTGTATTCACTCCACAATAGTCAGAAAGGACTGAAACCATACTACTTATTTGTCTGCTATTTGGACGAATGTTACCAGCTCAGATAGCGTAGATGGTCGTTGCTTTGTTCGCTGAGCAGGGCAATTTGAGTGCAAACGTTTCACCACCAATCGAAATGACACCATCAGTACGCCATTAAGGACCGTTGAATAGAGTTGCACGTGCGTTGATGCAAGTGCTGCTAACCGGGGCTGAACTTCGATCACGATTGGTTACTTGGCCAAGGTCACGTGGCTATCGACCAATCAGGACATGGAGTACCAGATCAATCAACGGAACCGCCCGACCGAAAAACCAATCGTGAACAAAGATCAGCCTCGGATTGCAGTACGTATATTGACAAAAATCCAAGCCTACTCAACGCACAACCACCGACCCTACTCTCCACAACGCGAGCGAACAGCGTGCTGATGGTGTCACCTTGACTGGCGGTGAAAAGTTTGCAATCAAATTAGCCAACTCAGCGAACAAACCAACGACTACTTGGTGGTCTACCATTCGGTTAAATCGATATGAAATAAAATTTCAAAGATGTTCCAACGCATCGTGTTACCATTGGTCCAAGGGTTGGTGGGTTTAACAGACCTCGCGAAACAGAGCCTACATGGCGATCTACGATTTTGGTGTTTCTTGAAATAAGTTACGATCGACTACCGACTAGTCGGTTTTTCTGCCCAGATGTTTTCCACAACACCGTTTGCCTCACATGCTTGCGAACCCCGTACGATCCTTAGGTTCGAACGGCTCCTGGCGTGCGAGAGGGCATCTTCATCTCTCCAAGAACTTCGACTCAGCAGTTCCTGGCAAAGATGTCCAGCCCCATTTCCATTCGAATTCATCACTGATGAATCAGTGTAAGAGAAGCTGCACGAACTTCGAGATCCCTGGTTCTATTCAACTCGTCTCCGAAGAGAACTACGTATGAACAGATGACATCGTTCCCTTTGCTTCAGATGAACAGGGTAGGTCATTGCTAACTAGCTAACGGTCTTACTATGCTTCCCTATGGTGCAGGATTTCAACATACAGGAGTTATATTGTTTCGGAGTGAATCTCCGGACATGACCCACGCGACTCAAGAGGAAAAACTGAGTACTGGGGTTCGTGTTACTTATTTCAGCGGTTCGACCACTTCGCATGGAAGTGAATCTGATGAAGGCGCTACACACACTTTCAGTGCCTAACTGCCATGCCACCAAAAGGAAGCACGAGGGCTGGGATGCTGCCAAGTTGTTCAAGCCGAGACAGGAAAAGTCGAAAGGAAGAGGTCGGCCATCTCACCTGCACAAATTTCCAACACCCGAATAATGTTGGCTCATTAGTGCCATATGTGGCATATGAAGACATATCACCGGGCATAAAATAATGCCAAACAGCGGGCTATACGATTGTCTATACCGAATGGAACCTATTAGTTGATTGGTACCTGATAATCGTAGCCGTTTGGGAATTCGTCAAATTTGTTACAGGATAGGTGTTCTGCTGCGTACCGTGTGGTTCAGGTATGGAAAACATACAGCACTATAAACCGCGGCGACTGAGTCATGCTCCACTATTCAAACCCATCGTCTATCGTCGGAACAACGCAAACCAAAAGGTGGCGTAGCAAGTACGGCCCACCTTCAACGGTAGGGTCTTTGTGGTGCTCCCTGAGTCTTACTGCAAATGGTGGCTGCTGACAAATGGGAGTGGTTTCCGTGCAGTTCCTCGAGACTCTGTGTTTGCAGATGTACGTAGCCCAGAGGGTTTGGGGTAAGTCAGCGTGAGAGCTCTGCCTTGCTCACCTTGTTCTTCCTAATTGAGGGTTTTTCAGACGTGGTTTTACGGCGGCGCAGTGTTAATCTCATCAGTGATGCCACCGTATACGATAATGACGGATGGATGGATGGATGGATGGGACTAAACAGCCGTGAAAGACCGTGATGAGAACATGAATCTTGGCCGTGAAATTGCGGCATCTCGGATAGTAGGAAGGCATTTTACATAGAATGTGAGGTATATTTGCTATTTCATAATCCTGAAGATAAAAAATAGAGGATTTCGTACAAGGGAACTCACAATTTTGACGACGTCCGGTTCCACACTGATCCCATAGAGGCGAACGATATCCGGATGGTTGAGTCGGTGCATTACGCCAACTTCGTTGAGGAATTCATCCGTGTTGTTGGTCAAACGATGCGTTTCCACAATTTTGACGGCTACCTGGACAACACCTCCAAACTCAGGACGCCATACTCCCTGTTTGAGTGTGGCAACGAGATTTCAACGGGGGGAGGAGTGAGACGGTGACGGGTGACAGTTTATGAGGAATGTTGAGAAAACGAAAGGAACAAATGAAACCATGTTCTCGAAATACATTCACTTGTCGTTCAGCTGTAACACCCTTCCGGTGCCTAGCTGCCATGCAACCAGAAAAAAGCACAAGGGCTGAGATACTGCCAGGTGGCCCAAGCCTAGACAGCGGAAGTCGAGAGGCAGAGGTCGGGTTCGAACCACGGACCTTCTGACCAGTAAATTCACACTCCAACCACTTGGGCCATCTTACCCCCAATTTGGTTCTAACGGGAGACTCAACAGAATCCCAGCTGAATCTCCCGTTTATGTCATTCTTCTGAACTGAATTTGCTGCACAAAATGCACTTAATGATATACGAGATAGCACAGTACCTGTTCCTCAAGGAAACCACTCGTAAGGTCCAAGAGTTTTCAGCAACCTTATGAGTAGTTCCATCCAAGAAACTAAGTTTCCTCTGTAAACTATTAAGATGTCATATTTGTTGATCTGGATACGATTTGTCTTCCATAAAATAAGACACCTGATGCTCCAAAAAGATAAACCGTATGTCCGATAGTTGTGACGCCAATCTGCGTACGGATAACAAAAGAAGGATTTACACCGCATGTTTGATTAGCTTGGCTAGTAGACAGATATTGTAAGGGTGAATCATCACATTTACAAGCAGAGGAAGTTGTTCACCTTTGTGGCAGAATTCTGCTACCACCAGAAGAGCAGCTGGTGGGGAAATCAATGAAACTACGGAGCGTCAGTATGACTGAAGTAGGCCCGAGTCAAACCGTCGGGGAATTCACATGAAATTTGCTATGGGATAGCCCAGAGAGCGTTCTCTAGGCTTCGGCTATGTTGGCCAAAAGGAACTGGGCGTTGCTTGTGAATTAGACAGCGCAAGTGGGAAAATCGTTTTGCTAGTGACCTCAGACGAAAAAAAATCATGTTCGTGAGGTGATAAACGAATAGGGATACTACACGCATTCGTTGTAGAGAAAATTCCATTGATTTTTCGCCGAGTAGTATTGCACAACGAATCACCTGAAAGTAACTTTGCCCCTATGGACTTTTCGCGAGGTAGTCGCTATGTCATGAAGTGAGTTTTTTACTACGTCATACACGGTTCGTAGAATAAAGGTAGATAAACCGACCAAAACACTCGCTAGATAAGGTGCGGACAATCAGGTGAACAGTCAAGGTGTCTTCCACAGAAATATGCTATTTTTGTCTTGAGATCATAAAAAGAGTTCAGTCCGACTGTGGAACATGACACCTTGGGGTAAGGGTGACTAGAAGAACACGAGAGAGTGGAACGATTGGAAGTTTGCAACGTCAGCTAAGGAACACTCGTTGTGGTAGTAACGATGAAAGAACGATTGAATACATGAGAAAGAACATGGACCCTGATGTTGAATGTTCGTCTAGTTTTTCTGTTGATGGATTTTTTATCGATCAATCGATGACGGCTTTTTCGGGCAGACAAGTAAGCAGACTGGGTGAATGAGGAAGAACCACGTAACTAACGCTCGTGCATGCAATTCTTACGTGCAACGGTATGAAGACAGGCATGGTTCAAAACAAGAACGTTTGCCGGCCAAAGGGGAACAGAGAATTAACATGTGCGGGCCCTTGATGAAGATACATATATGGACCTGTGGGCACTAGAGTTCTTCGAAAAATGCTATGTCCATAGAAATGAGGAGAAGATATGATTATAAGGTAGTGAAGTATCGACGTTCTCATCTAGTGCTGCTGTCAGTGATGATGATGATCTTATGAGGAAAAACGAAGCACATACGTCCTCAGTTGCTGACAATAAGACAGCAAGGCGGAGAGGGTCGTACGACCAATGGAGTAAAAAATCTCTCAGCTGTAACACCCTTCCGGTTCCTAGCTGCCATGCTACCCGAAGGAAGCACGAGATCTGGGATACTGCTAGGTCGCCCAAGCCTAGCAGAGGAAGTCGAGAGGCAGAGGTCGGGTTCGAACACGGACCTTCCGGTCAGTAACTTCGCGCTCTAACCACTTTGGCCATCTTGCCCGAATGGAGTGGGAACATGTAGTCATGTTGTGTCAGCATCCGAGGAGAATAGAGAAAGACGGTGTGGGAAATTAAGGGATGAAGAAGGGGTCTAGGGTTCGTGCGGTGTTTTTATCTCCACCTCGAATGAAAAGTCACAAGTTGGTGAGAACAATTGGTAGCGGAAGATTACTGTGAGGTACAATCAAGTTCCCAAGCCTAGACAGTAGTCCGGGTTGGGTTCGAACCACGAAATTTCCGGTCAGTGAGTTCGTGCATTAACCACTGAGCAATCACAAAGCTAGGGAACGAATTGTTTGAACCGAGTAGGGACACTAGACCTTATGCAATTACTAACCACTAAATGCAGATAACGGAAACGTGTTATCATCGACCAAAAAAGCCCAATACTGATGAAGACAACACCCGTTTTGTGAAGTGTAAGAGCACGAAGCTGCTTGGAAGGTCCGTCCGAATTCGCAGCGGAAAGAGGACACTTTAATTGCTATGCTTGGATGCATTGGACAGTCAAAGATGCGTGGTGTGTCCTTTTGTCTGTCTGTTTTCCACGACTCTACACTCATAGCACTTTTCACTGGAGGGTAACATGTGTGTGACTGAAGACTTCAGAATCTTTTTTACGAAGTTGAAAAAACCTGTCAACTTTTACGGCGAATTCTCTCTACGAACGCTGGAGGGTCTCCAAAACCCTGGTGTTCAGATAACCTGCGAAAACCTTGTCGATCTGAAGTACGCAGACGATCTGGTTCTCATCTTCGAAGAGAAGACGCAGGTGTTTTTGGATGACGACACTTGTTCGGCACCCACAAAGTGTAAGGTCATGCTCGTGGACGTGCAGTCACTGAACACGCCACTTACAATCCAGGGAAAGATACTGGAAGTTGTGGAGCATTTTACATATCTTGGAAGTTGTATTAGTTCTGATTGTGGTGTGATAAATGAGGTCAATGCACGAGTCTGCAAGGCGCGGGTCGCTAAGTTGAGACGATGTCTCGAATATCGTAGCGACTGAAACATGAGGCGGCCTGGTGCAGCACATTCAGTTGCCTGAGAACATCATAAACGAGAGATTCAGCTGGGTTCCAGGTAAGTCTCTCGAAAAAACCAAATTAGTTTGCAAATGAGTGTATATTCGCTAATTTCGTGCAATTTGGCTTCAAATACAACATAAGGTTGACGGAAACCCGGGGACTGCGCCTACCTCATGAGCCCCAAAAAGAGCGAAATCGGTCGTGGGCTGTCGACGGATTTTCAGCAACCTTATGAATAGTACATTACAGTTTTACTGTTGATCACTGTCGAGCCAGTCTTCCAGAGCACACCTTCAGGTCAAAAACGAAATATCCAGCGTGTTCTATAAAGCTTGTAATGGGCTTCCTAGGCAAGTCTATTTCATTTTAATTTGCGATTGTGATAAAGTGATAAACCTGAATTGGGCTGCGTAAGGTCATTTTACAATTGCACTTCGAGGCGATGATTCTAGTAAGTTCAGGGCAGCATTCAGCTGTAATACCATTTCGCTTTGTCATGGCTTCGAAGCTAACACGTTGCCGGTTCAATGCTGACTTGGGAATGCAGGCCTTTACAAACTAAAGATTGTTCAAGTCGAATGTTTTGTCAACAGTACTTCTGAAAAATAACGCATTCTGCATCAATTCAGCGAGTGTCAATCGCGAGCCTGCTCAACGAGTTCTTCTGAGAATCAACAAGTCAACTAAAACAACACAATCAAAAACGGATATCGACCAATCGGAAATTCCGTCGGGTGATGAAATTCACTGTCACTGGTGGGGATTAATCACAGTGTCGTCCCCCATCGTCATACAGAGGCATCCCTCCACAGGATAAACTTGCAACAAGGTAGGTAAAGTGAGTGTTGATTACGTTGCAGCCATGAGCGACAGACAGCCTCAAAACCAAATTTAATTTAATTTTTGGGAGAACAGCTGTCATGCCACCCGAAGGAAGCCAGATTGCTCAAACTCAATGAGCAGTAGCCGAAAAGTCATGCTTGGATTAGGACCGGTCACTGGCCTCCAGTCTACACCACTAAACTATCTGACGCTCGTGAGATTTATCTGAAAAGGCTACTGGCTTTGTCAATAAATTTAAACATTTGTTTCACCGAAACAGTTACAGATTTTCACGAAAGGTCTGATAACTATCATCTAACGGGGCTGAAGTCTGGTCCGAGGTTTTTGATTGTGGACGGTTCTCAGGGTCACCGAGTTTTGTTGGGATTGATCTGTCATAGAAGCTGCATAAGCATTCGGTAAAAAATGCTCCCCGAAACATAGATTACACGAATAGAACGGTTTGAGATGGGATGAAAAGACTCAAACAAGACAGGGTGCGCTGAAACCTACTGAACTGAGAATAGCAAAAGAATTTTGTCGCCGTAAAAACAGGGGTGTGTTTTTACCTGAAAAACTTTCCCGAATTCCCCTTCACCCAGGTTTGCACCAATTTCCAGCTGTCTCGCAGGAATTATACGATACAATGTGCCACCACCGACCACGCTTTCCCCAACTCGCACATTCGTCCTGGAACTGTCCCAGTTACGGCCCTCTTCATATGTAGGGGTATGATCCACCGATGTAAACCGCACGGTTGGGGTGACAGCATCCGGACCGAGTATTTTATCAACTGTACGCGAGACCGAAACGGATCTGGTTGCACCGGTCGATCGTGAAAGGCGCTATATAGCAAGCGACATAGTTCAAAATGCATTCATCAATAGTGAAGGTTAGAAAAAAGTCTTCGAAAACACCAATAATAACAAGTAGTTTGACGGATATCCATTTCGTTATGCGTGCAACACCGGATCGGTCTTGGGCTGGTAAGATTCTGCCGAATAGTCAACTGTCGTAGGAAGGGGCGTCGTTCTGAATGAATCCAGCCACCTCCACCCACCCCGGTACGGACACCACCTGATCAGAGAACAAACCTGCTTGATTCCCGTCCATCAAAAACACCGTAAGTGTACTGGTATCCATTGTTTTGTCAACCGATAATCAGCGAATTAAGTGGTGTGGAACGTACAGTAAAATCAACCACAGCTCGAATCAGTTTGCCAAATACAGGCTACGCGCCAAGTGCATCGATCATAGCTGTTACAGTTTCCGCACCAGGAGGAAGCGCAACGACGGGGAAGCAGTCAGGTTGAACAGACTCAGTTTGCTCGTGGATATCTATGCACTAAAGGTGAGCGCTAAATGCTGTTAACCCCGTGGTTCCGACCGCCTGTAGTGTGGCTATTAGCATGAACAACATGGGACAAAGTGATGGTGAGAACTCGTGCTTACCTAACATTTAGCCAGAGAGGAATAAAATCTGAGTAAATTATAAAAACGGTGTGGAAACACATTGTAAGAATCTCAATTCCATGAACGTGGGAGACCAGACGAAGTTAGCGAGATTGACCGAGCTAGTTTTTGTCACAGAGTCACCCGCCATGGATACGGCAGTTGTCAGCGCGACTGGTTTTAGTTTTGGGGCTCATACGCTATTACCACCTTGGAACAATTGACAGCCTATACATGCCTGGACAAGAGTGGCTCAATAGGATATTCAGCGCTGCGCAATACAAAGTATGTTCAACAAACACAACCGTTAAGTGATAGTACCTCGTCTGTCAAGCTATCTAGAAACCCATTTGAGTCGATCCAGTATCCTGGAGCAATGCTTTCCAAACATCGAGGGTCTTGATCCGGGAAGGGCTACCAAACTCAACTATAATTCACTACCCTTTAAAAGCCAAAACCAAGATATGCCATATCCTAACAGCTGGCTAACACAAATGGTAATGACTGACAACTGGCATGCAACAGAACAGTGTCAACCTCAACGAAGAGCATGTCTACACGCTGAAAAACGTCTTCACAATATGTCGATGGGAATTCTACCTTTCGAAGCTTCCCCATTGTGGTCTGCGGGCATTCCCGTTTGAAAAATTTGCGGAGGCGACGTTGCTCTGGTCGGCTAAAACCCAGCTCTGTCAGATCCGAGTCATCCACGTATTTGATCTGTTCCACTGACCGGATCTATTTGCATTGGAACATAAAAAAAACAAAAAGCAGTGTAAGCCGAGATCAGAGCTACACCGAAAAAAAGACAGTGAGAAGGTGCACAAAACATGGTGCGCTGTGGGCTAAAGGAATGCTGAAAGACATCCAATAGATTCTTCAGTAGTGTACTTCGCGGGTGATATAAGCATTGTCCGGAGAAAGTGTTATTCGACCGGCTAAAGACAAACCGAATAACTAATAGACTCCCCGGGACTCCCTATAGACGACCGGATGTAACAAAGAGCGTTGGTTCAACAACATGGATAGACCTTGGTTACCAGCCCAGAATATACGACAGCCTACAGCTGGAAGACAGAGTGAACCAGATTGGCAAAAAAACCTGTCCCTCAGGCAACCAGCTAGTCTATCAACTATGAAACATGTACTAAGAGTGCATTGGTTTCAGCCGCTACAGATTTGATCACCGGAAAATGAGAGAGTGTGGGAAGTACAGCCAAGCATTGGAGGCGATGATATGTTCCGTTAACTCACGTGCTGTTTATTGGTTCACATACGGCTGCGATGGTCAATACAACGAAGGACCGAACAGTATCTATATCTAAGACCACAAGATCACCTCCTAAGTCAAAGAATCAGAACATTAGCAGCCGCTAATCGAAAGTAGCAAGCGGTTAACCATTCTCATCCGTGGCAAGGAGGCGATCGACACAAGACGTGGATTTGAGTGGACATCAACTCATTGCCCCTGACATTGCTTATGAAGACATTCACAACCTACCTTCAGATGAGTGGTGAGTGCCGTATAGTAGTGCTCTAACTCCGCTTCCTTCAGGAACTCAAAAAGGCCTTTTTCACCACATGCCGACGGCCGCTGTGTCCCTAAATCGATGAAATTGGACGTTTGACCACGACCGAACGTACAGCCCAGGGGCATGATTGACTGAGATCTATCCCATATGCCACCACCGACCAAATCTCCAGTGACTGTGGTTGTCAAACTGAGGGAGTCAGATCCAGCGTCAGCCTGTGAGACGGAAAATAACGAGGCCGGGTGTGTTTCAATAGTTTGATAGCTCTGTTCCGAAGGGGTTGGAGAGAGACGTCGCTGACCACTCCCTACACAAGAACGACTGAGAGTAAGAGACTCCCGTGCCTGTGGGACTGACAACATGACCAGGAATGTTCAAGGCACAGCGCCTCAGAGGAGCCTGAAGTGAGAGGATAAAGTGTCAGAGATAAAACTGAATCAAACGGTCTGCAACACTGAACAAAAAATGCACTATCAGGTTTATTTGTGGGGAGAACGATACAGATTATGCCCTTAGTTTCAAGCGTACCACGTCAAGAAACGTACCAGCCCTGTTAGGATTCGAAAGAAGTGTTAAGTCCCAGCAGCGAAGGGGGGGGGCGAGAGGACTAAATGTTGTCGGCAATTCAAGCAGAAAGTTCCGTTAGACTATGGAGAAATGATACCCATCTGAACACAAAACTGCAGTTAATGATCCAGTAGCAGAATCATGGCTATCAGTGCCATAAAAGTACCACACTTGATCAGGCCGGTGTCCGGCAGGCAACCACTTCCATACGATTCACTTAGCAACGTCCGGAGAAGCATCTTTTATGGCCAATCCCGAGGATAAAGAGAATAAGGGAATGAGAGCCGTACGTTGAAGGCGATGGAACAATCTGAACAGCTATCATTATCATCATCAACAACAACAGCAACAACATCAGTGTTGACACTGACTGTTCATTGCCATATAACCACAAAGTTCATCAAATTATATTTAAAACCTTGGAGTGAAAAGAAAAGAAGAGTGGGTGAGGGAGGGGATCTGGTGCTGGCCTATCGCAAGCATTCTGAGGTGCCTACACTTCCAAGCGCTCAATCAGACAATCTGAAAAGAAACTGACAGCAGGAAGGCCACCAAAATCAATCAGCCACCGTTTCTTGCAATGCCTGAAGCCAAGCGCAAACGAGTTACTGGGATGCCATCCTGAAAAACGTACAACACCGACATCACCCAAACTCTTCGCAGTCTCTTTAACACCCTTCTGCCAAGCCATTCGTTGTCCACCTCGCAGTTTACACCATTCTGAAGGAGGCAGAAGAAAAAACTCATCTCGGAAGACGGTGTCTCGGCATGCGTAGAACACAATCGAGCCATCGTAGTCGGTAGTGCTGGATGCTTTCCGCGATTGAAGTTCAGCTGTAGTACCCTTTCTGCGCCCAACTACCATGTTACTAGAAGGAAGCACAACGTCTGGGATACTGTCAGGTTGCCCGAGCATAGACAGGGGAAGTCGAGAGGCAGGGGTCGGGTTTGAACCACATAAATTTCGGTCAGTAAATTCGCGCTCTAACCGTCGAACCATCCGCGATTGAAGTATCTGCTGCATAATCAAATACATGTTTTCTGATCACCTTGTTACGAATCCGTTGATGCCAAATAAAACCAGCAAAGCTCCTGAGGCATAGATGGTCAGTTAATACAGATGTTTTCTGACAAAATTCATCCATTGGTGAAAAAGCAAAATATTTCCGCTTCCGGAGAATGCCCGAACAGCATTTGAGAACCTTAAACACGAACTAGAAAATGCGATGGTGGTTACTGTCGACTACAATATCCCTCTCGTTGTTAAAACTGATGCGTCCGACATCGCTATTGGTGCATCCCTGAGCCAGGGTAGCCGGCCGGTCGCCTTCTTCTCCAGAACCTTGACTGCAAGCGAGAAAAATCATTCTGCTGTTGAAAAGGAAGCACATGCTATAGTCGAAACGATCCACAAATGGCGCCACTATATCCTCGGGAGACATTTTAAATTGACTACGGATCCACGTTCGGTCGCCTTTATGTATGGGAACCAACGGAAAAGTAAAATAAAGAACGACACGATTGAACGGTGGAAAATCGAGTTGGCAGGGTACAACTACGACGTCGTCTATAGACTTGGAGCAGATAACCGCGTTGCTGATACCCTATCTCGTAACCTTTGTGCCAACATTGCTGGGACGGAAAAACTTGAAGAGCTTCACAACATATTATGCCATCCCGGGGTCACGAGATTTGCACATTTTGTTCGTTCTAAGAACCTTCCTTTTTCAGTCAGCGATATCCGACGTGTGGTGTCCAACTGTTCCACATGCTCCGAGCTCAAACCAAAATTTTGTGACACCTTTCGTGGCCAGCTTATCAAAGCCACACAACCGTTCGAACGCCTTAGTATCGACTTTAAAGGCCCACTTCCCTCAAACACTCGTAATAAGTACCTCTTAACAATCGTTGACGAGTATTCTCGATTCCCTTTTGCTTATCCCTGCGCCGATACGTCCTCTTCCACTGTAATTCGTTGTTTGAGTCAACTGTTTTCACTGTTTGGTATGCCTGCTTATATTCACTCAGATCGCGGTTCTGCATTCATTTCAACTGAACTCAAACAATTTTCGTTCGATAAGGGCGTTGCCAGTAGTCACACCGCTGCATACAATCCACAATGTAATGGTCAGGTTAAACGACTTAATGGTACCCTTTGGAAGACCATCTGCCTGGCTCTAAAATCGCGCGGCTTGCCTGTCACACATTGGGAGGCTGTCCTCCTTGATGCTCTTCACTGTATCAGATCCCTGTTATGTACTAGTATCAACTGTACCCCACACGAACGTTTTATGCCGTTCACACGACGATCAGCCAACGGTGCCTCCCTACCTACCTGGCTTACTGTCCCTGGGCCAATCCTTTTAAAACGCAATGATCGAGTCTCTAAATATGACCCTCTGGTAGAGGAAGTGGAACTCGTCTCTTGTAATCCACAGTACGCCCACATAGTTCGTCCAGATGGCAAACACGAAACCGTATCCTTGCGCCGCTTGGCTCCCAAAGGCAACGACATGACATCCGACACAGAACAGGAAACAATACATATCGCCGAACAAGGGGAGCGTCACACAAAACCATCGGTCCACCGTGATTGCTCAGAAACTGAACTCTTGCCTATTAACGATGCCTCACCATCCCATTCTAGTGCAGATCCAGGAAATCACTTGGAGGTTCTTATCCGACAACAGCGCACTTACCCATATAATCTAGGCAACAGAGAGGCGTAAACGACTCCATGTAACTATTACAGCCCTTTATTTTTTTTACATTCTTTCTCCGCAAAGTACACACTAATTCCAAGGCGGGGAGAATGTCACGACTATATAACCCATACCTTTTCATAACCCATTAACTCGTGATTCTCACTCCATTTTCAGTTCATGTACTACAGTTATTAGACGATTAAAGCGTACATTACGTCTTTCTATTCTGTCTCCTTTCTAATCCCGTCCTGGAACTACTCAACTCTCGCAACAGTGCAACGGTCAAGTTGAGCGTCTCAACGGTACCCTCTGGAAAACAATAAACTTAGCGTTGAAATATCAATCTCCCGCCTTCCCGTTGGGAATCGGTACTCCCTGATGCTCTACACAGCCTCCAATCATTGTTATGTACGGTCACTAACTGTACTCCACACGAACGTTTGCTCCAATACGCATGTCGCTCAACATTTGGAATATCGCTGCCATCTTGGCTGACCACTACTGGTCCAGTTCTGCTGCAACGAGGTGATGGGTCATCCAAGCATCAACCACTAGTAGAAGTTGACCTTCTGAACTGAAACCCACATTACGCACACACTGCTCATCGAGACAGAAGAGTCAAAACCGTGTCCCTTCGCCGTCTAGCCCCAGCGGTTCAGGATACAACTGACAACGTTCTCAATCTGTCTGACTCCAGATACGACTGAAACAACTGGACATCAGCCCGATAACTCTCAAGCATCTGAATCTTCTTTGGTACCTTCCTCCGAATACCAACCGGGTTATCCTGAAAATCTAGAACAACAGCGACGCATTCATCCTTACAGTTTGAAGAACAGAGAAGCCTGATTCAGTACATCACCCCTGTCTACGTCAGCTCATATGTGCCCATTCAAACACTGTCGGGGTGAATGTCATGATTTTTGTGTGCTTATTCTTGTACTTGCCATATGTACTCGTACTGAACTTTTGTATGCACATTCCAGCTCATGTAGGCTGGTTCGTAGCAAGTAAAACATTGCTTGTCCTCGAAAACCTGGACTCTGATCTAACTCGTCCTCGGACACATTCTAAACGTCTCAGTCCGTGAGGGAACGCGTCATCGCTAAAGGCAGGTAAAGAAGGTTCAAGTAGTATGGCAGTTACGATGTTGAAAAGATAGGGCGACGGGGGAGTCCTTGCCTAACATAACTGAATCTGGTGTACTAAGGAGACGATTCGCTGTAGACATACGCGCCCATGGTAGGAAGCATACAAAGACCTCACAATGGTCAAGAATATGGAGACCCTTCATCTCCAGACAAGGTCAGTTTCTGGCGATTAACGGGGTCTACAGCGAATGTGAGATCGAGATATAGAATACTGTTNTCGGAAAGAGTGGCACAGTCCCTACTATTGCCACAAGGTGAAGATATGATCAATTCAACCTCGGCCAGGGTGAAACCCAGCTTGATTCCCGCGAATCTGACCAACCTTCGTAGGGTAATACCAGGGAATATCTTGGAGCTCCAGCCACCACCACCCCAGTGGTTCTCGCACTTTTATGAGGTGAGAATGTCCGTGGTTCGAATTCATTCCTCATTCCATAAACTTTGGAGCAGGGCCGCTATATTAAACGCGACAGACGCGCAACCCTCCTGCTTCCTTCGGGTGGCATGACAGCTAGGCACCGAAAGGGTATTACAGCTGAACGATAATTTTACTTGGCAAACTTACTACTTAACGCTGAAGGCTCATAGAACGATGCTACACCATTAGTTTAGCTTGCACTTTCCAATGGAACGAAACCTACCGAAAAACTCAGTTTAGAAAGCTAGGGAGAGAGCGAGGATTCTTGTACCGATACGTGAACCCCTGACTACTCTTGATAACGCTTCAGAGTATGATTCGTTCAAACGTGGTCTGTTAACCCACGGTCCTTCACTACCTCAAAGCCTGAACTCACACGTGTTTTTGGCGTTACTTTCTCTAACTGCTTTTGTCATTGTAGAATACATACAGACCATATCAGGATCACTTCGTATTGCATAAAAAACTAGGAGCTTACCGATGACACCAGGATAGTTCTGTGAAAGCCCGGAACTGAGACGAGTAATATTTTCGTCCTCAAAACTGTCGCTAAATGACTCATAGATAAAAAATCGACCCAACGGGGCTGCACCCCAGGTCAAGACTCGGTAGAACGCGCTGCAGGCTTCGTTGCTTAAAAACGCGCGTTGGGTGACCCTGAAAAATATCACTAAATGGACTCAATATCTGGGAGCACCAGAAGAGGGGGCAAGCTCCTAGATTCGAGGATTCGCGGATTGATACGCAGGATCGGGACTTTCACCAAAGTTTTTCGTGTCGGATTTGTTCTTTTCATTCAGCGGCTGCTGTTCAGCTGTATGGTGTTTTGTTCTTACGCTTCTTATGGCCCAACATGAATAAGGACCCAACATCCTGGGCCAAACAGTGCATCGCCTGTCAGCGCAGTAGAGTAACTCGACATACGAACCCACCTAACGGTTCATTTGCAGTCCCTGATCCTCGATACACACAAGTTCATCTTGCTATCGTCGGTCCATTTTCCCCATCGGTCACACACATTCTTACCATGTAATCATATAATCATATCATAATCATATATTTGGAGCAAAAGAAGAATTCTGCGTGCACTCCATCGAGAAGAAAAATGCGAATATCATTCCACGTGCGCCCTTGGTCCGCTGGTGGAATAGCTGACTTTCGGGAACAGAGCGGAGGAGATATCCTCACAGAAGCATGGATCAGATAGATGTTCATCCAAATTAAGTTTGAAAATTTGAACTGTTTCTGACTGAACGATATTTGCCGGTAAACGAATCCAAAATGACACAACGTGGCGAGAGAAACTGTACCCATGAGGCACATTGTCCATGCCTGTGACAGTAGGTTTAAATCGGTGTCCTCTGGTGATGTTGGTTGTTAGAATGTCAAACAAGAACATCAACTACGGAAAATGGGTTAAGCACAAAACACGGAAAACATAGATGAGATCAATCCGGAGACGTCTGTATTCAAGTGTGAACAATTTCAGTTTGCTGCATCTCTCAGAATAAGGAAGACTCCGCAGACTAGGAACCATCTTTGTAACGAGGTGTTGGACACGTTCGAGCTTTCGGGCTTCGGCTTTCGTAAGTGGGGAGAAAGCTGGTGCACCGTATACCAATATAGGCCGGATCATGGTGGGATACAGCTTTAAAACTAACTCTTCCGTCCACATCGAAAAACTTCGCTTCAATGCCCAGAAAATGCGAAGAGACTTTATAGACGTTTTCCCCGTTGGCTAGTATCTGTACTCATTTTGTATGTTTCATCTGAGACGGTAGCCCTTTCGTTTTTGCGGCATTGGGTGAATAACTTTGGCAAACCTTCCTCCGTTGCTACTGATCGCGGTTCGCAGTTTCATCGTAATCTCTTCCGTGGGTTTGCTGAACTGTTCGGTTTCTATCACCGCCGACCACCGGGCGATGGTCAGTAACCGGTTTGTAGATTGGCGTGAAATTCGCTTACTTCCAGGCAGCACCCATTCTCCAGGTCCGTTTGATTGACCTCGTCTGCCCCCAAAGCGCAGAACGCGTTTGTATTTTTGTGATGAACATGACTGATGCTCTATTCATTGCTCTATTAATTATTCTCTTGTTTTAATATTCCATATGCTGTACATATTCGCAATTCGAATATATACGTGCTGGTTGCCACTCTTCGCTGAATTCTGGATTTCTAGTTTGTCGGGTTGTACCGATATACGTACGAAACTTAATT